ATATTTTTGGTGGGTGTGAGGAGTGACTGATCTAATCTGGCTAGTGATCGCAGGAGATATTGCGCACGCCGTCCTTAAACATGATCTGGTGCGTGTGCATAACCGAGCGCCTTCAGCTAAATGAGTCCATTAAAACTAATGTGTTCAGCATCGAATGTCGAATACTTGCAGAGTTATTGATTTATTTACAGCTACAGATCACTCCCCCCTAGTGAGGTGTGATGACGTGGTTAGCTATAAGTTTAAACCCACCGAGTTTGTCGTTGGTAAACACTCTTCTGATAGCTTGCTATGTTTAGCAGCGACTGGTCATCGTTCCTTAATATAACGGGCCATTAAATACAGTAAAGTAATCCTAAAACAAAGCAAAATCGAAATCTTGATTCTTCATAAACTTCTTCGTTCTTTTCCAGCCTTCCTGGAAAAGAAAACTATAGAATGTGTAAGTGCATGTCGAAACACACTCGTACTGACGTAAAGACACAAGGTAAGCGGGAAAAAGGTAAATAAATCAATACTCTTGCGACAACGCAAAAGCGATCGAAAGAAATTGTTTATTGCACGTTTTTTTAATCTAAAAATATATATATATACTCATAAGTAAAAAGTGTTTTTCGGAATAAACGTATAATTATAAGCATATTTAATTTTTTTAGAATATATAATACAAAGGAAAATCGAGATAAAGCTTGTGTCTTACGTCCAATGGGCGTTTAAATGTTCCGGAATTCTTACTGTTCTTCCAGAACACGTTATCTGAAGTTCATTTTTAGACGCTGATGAAGTATCAACGTACGTTTAGGCTGTCGGATGGGGTGCTACAAGTGTAGGAGCAGTGTAGTTCAATTGTACCGAAGGAAAATCGACGTTGATAGGATTTCTTTCCAAATATGCGACTCTGATTCGATCGATACTGATGCTGTCGTTAGTTCCGTTCTTATCGACTATATAGTACTTAGGTTCACGTTGAAGAACTTTGAAGGGTCCCTCGTATGCTGATTCGAGAAGTTGTTGATGTGAGCCTCGACAAACGAAGACATGCGTACCATAAGTCAGGTTGAACGAAAACATCAGTTGATTGCAGTTGAATGGAAACAGGTTTGACAGGACGTATAGCGTGTGTAAGCTTGCTGGTGTGGGAGTTTAGTTCCATGTTCATTGAAGAAGACGAAGGATCAGCTTTCATTTCATGGTCGATACCTAGTAAGCCAAGTGGAAGAGCATCGGTCTGCTGTGAAACGTTTGCAGCTGATAACGAAGCTTTTAGTTGTCAGTGAAAGCGTCCTACCAACCCGTTTGCTTGTGGGTGGTAGGCGGTCGTTCGGGAGCGAATGATTCCTAATAGTGTGATCAGATAACGGAAAAGTCCAAATTCTAACTGGCGTCCGCGGTTTGTAGTGATGGTTGAAGAGCAGCTGAAAATTGCTACCAATCGTTTGACAAAGGCCCGGGCCACTGCTTTAGCAGTAATGTCCTTAATGTGTGCCGCCTCTGGCCATCGAGTGAAACAGTCTAAGCAGCTTAACAGATAAGAGTATCCAGTTGAATCTGGTGAAGGCCCTACCAACTCCAGATGAGCGTGGTCGAAATGAGCATCAAGAGTTTTGAAAGAGCCCAAGACACATTTGTTGTGTCTAATCACCTTAGATTTCTGGCAGCTTACACAGTAGCACACCAACTCTCACACGTCTTTATTCATATCAGACCAGACAAACTTGGGGGATGCACAAACACCTGGATTAGAAAGATTGTGTAACGTATTGAAGACGTTGCATTGATAATGTTTCGGCACGATTGTGCGATCCCTACCTGTAGATGTGTCTCATAGTAAGGTTTCCTTACCTGTTCTCATATGTTCAATGCGCAGTTTGAGGGTTGTTGAGGATAACTCATGCTGAAGATCAATGTCTTCTTGAAACTAGAAGTTTCAAAAGGTCGATTCCTTGAAAACTGTTCAAGGTATTAATACGAGACAAGGCGTCTGCAACTACGTTGTTTATTCCAGAAATCTGTTGTATATCTGAAGTAAACTGCGAAATGTAGTTCAGTTGTCGAGACTTTCGAGATGAGTACTTGTCTGAAGATGAAATTAAAGAGAAAGTAAGTAGTATATGCTCAGTTAAAAGGGTGAGTCCCCGGCCTTCGATAGGGTTTTGAAAATGTCGTACAGCATATTATATAGCTAGGAGTTCCCTACAGAAAATGCCGTACCTCGATTCGGTGTCTAGCAACCATCTCCAGAAAAATCCTAAAGGTTGCAAGAGTGGTTAACCCATTGTTGTAAGACTCCTCCCATTGCTGAGTCAGATGCGTCTACTGCGATACAAATGGGTGCTTGAGTGTCCCGATGTGCTAGCATGGTCGCCTTTGCGATAAGTTCCTTGACCGTGAAGAATGCTTTTCGCGCGTTGTCGTCCAAATTAATTGATTTCGCATTTCTACGAAGTTGGTCGGTTAGCGGTTTCATAAGGGATGTGCATTTCAGTATGAACCGTCTACAGAAACTTACAAGGTCGTCAAATGTACCCAATTACTTAATGGTGGTCGGTTCTGGGTAATCCAGAATGGCCACCACTTTGCTTCTTAGAGGTCGGATGCCTTGAGCATCAATAGTGTGTCCTAGGAAGTCTAAGTACTTGGTTCCGATTTGGCATATCTGAATGTTTACAGTAATGCTATGCTTATGCAGTCATTCAAACACAATGTCCAGATGCTGGAGATGGTATTCTCTGTCCGGACGAGAAGAGAACTGCTTGCACCTGTTGAGGAAGTTTAGATAAGAAAAGTTGTTTGAATAGGTCTTCTTAGAAAGTTCGTTGACCTATAACTCCTCTCATTCTTAGCAACATGTCTGTTGCAGAACCATGTTGCAGGTGGATACTGTTAAGGAGTTGATCTAACCTTTGTTGATCGGTTAGATCTCCGATAGATTTAAGGTTTCGTAAGGTTCCGAAACATCACTAGTAATCATACTAGGCGTGACGTACCTGATCTCGTGCGCATGCATGACCGGGCGCCTTCAGCTAAATGAGTCCATTAAAACTAATGTGTTCAGCATCGAATGTCGAATACTTGCAGAGCTATTGATTTTGGGGATTTATTTACAGCTCCATCATAAATGTGTTATTTGACAAAGAAAGGCTAAAGAAATCATACTTATAAACTAAGTATCCTGACAGTCATCTAAAAATAGATCTCTGAATACAGAAGACTTTTTATCAGTGCGCAATTTACCGGTAAGCCATTACGATCTTACTAGATACTTGATACTTTTAATATATGTACTACTTGCTATGATAGGAGTTTGGAATGCTAATCTGAAACGTGGATTTGCACTCAATCTTGCCAGTGGTGATCAGTAGTTCACCACTCTGATGACACTTTGCGTCGAAACGATCATATTGCTATCCTGACTTTATTATGTGAACCTGTCCTTGACAAATAATATATTAGATATATTGGTGTTTAAAAAATGACATCTTTGGCAAGACTCAGATGTTGATCTCTGTGAGATATTTCGCACAGCAATTAATCGCGAAGAATGCCATAACTTATAAAGCCATCCATCGAAATGATCTCCATTGAGAGTATCATCTGAGGTCTGGGAGAATCCATGCAGAAACATGAATCCGATAGCGTTAATGGAAGATATTCCAAGCCTCCAGTCCATCGTTATGTGCAGTAACCTATAATGTTATACGAAACGATTATATTCTTCAACCGGAATTCGTGGTTAAATAATTAGAAAAAACGATTTAGTCACCTTTTATTTACACTCTGAGAGTAGCAGAACTACTATTTTGTTACTATGTAAACTCCTATAACAACTTTTCCGAAAAACATTGATTTTGCATAATGATATGACCAAAAACACCTCACATGAAAAACTACTATATCTCATCATTGTTATAAAAACTAAGAAACCTTATTGTCACCACAATTGCTTATCTCACTTTCCTTTGTTTAAATAAGCTTCATCAGTTGAAGGCCATAACGCGGTATTTCTTTAACGTGGCTTCCTGTGTGCGAGGGTTGGACGTTCGTTGTGATCCACCTTCGAGTTTACTTATACGTATGGTATTGTAAAATTATTGTTTTATGATACTAGTGATACCGAAATACCTATGTGCAATAATCCCCCAAATGACACAATGAGCCTTAACAGCTACAAACTATTAGAGCTAAGATTGCTTTGAATGTGGCTTTACGTTATATATATATATATATATATATATATATATAGCATGTGTTTGTGGCTACTAAAATATACCTGCTATACATATAATAGAAACGACTAAGGGGCTGGTGGAATTTTGAAATATTCCCCTCGATAAAAACATTAGTCAAAGAGTATGTGTGGAATTATTCCAGAGATCTGTTTTAAAATGTCTACATAAAGACGTTTACTATAGAAAGAGGTAAATCCTAAGGGAATGTGACTAATAAAGACAATATCATAAAGGGTATCAGTCATTAATATTCGGGCTTTGTCGGTCCTTATCGGTTTGAGTTATTTGTCATTCAATAGCTTTTTGCAAGTACATATGACCACATTTCATGACTACAAACAGTTGGTTAATTAGTCAGTGATCCCCTGCTACAGGAAGCAATCATCGTGAATGTATATGTAATCACTAAAATTACCAGATGAAACCAACAATTTAGATAGTATTACCTTTGAAATAGTAGTTCAAATGGTTGAGGACGGAATAGAAGAAGCTTTCGCTTAACGGGCTTCCGTGTCTGGTAGCAGTGGATCACCAATACCTCCAGGCAAAAACCTAGGTATATGAACGATAATAGAGGGAAAAAAAATTTGGTAAATCATAATAATATGTTATCCTTAGTCCTTAAGAATAAGTCAAGTTTTCTCTTAAAGGACTCCTGGGAGGTCGCTTGGACTAGCTCAGTCGGCAGCGAATTCCAGCACTTGACAACTCTAACGGAGTAGAAGTTGTGTCTGCAGTCTGTTCTGTTATTTGTGAGAGCCTTCCAGTGATGTAAAAATAGTCATACTTAAACTTTTGTTTTTAAGCGTTTTTATATATTTTTTTGTTGATTGTACAGTGGTTATTCAGGATTGTTAACGTTTGTATGCTTGATAGTACGAAACCATGTCTGCGGTGTTGGAAGAAAAAAATACGATTCTTAGTTGGATTAGTTTGTCGAGGAAACCATACTAACTTTCGCCTTGGAATCATAGCTTCCATACCAAAACACTTCGTAAACGATACTAGATTAGAAGCAACAATTCATTCAGCTCGAGTTCAATGGACAAATATGAATAACAGGCTTCATGGCTACTATTCACGGAGCGCAAGATAGTTAGTCTAATCATAATGACGTTAGAAGGCTTATTTTAATGAACATTATTTGTGTTGTTTACCATGCCTGCTCACGTATTCACAAACACCTCTTATTGCACAATTGTAGATTTTAAGGAGTCAGTGAATCGCCTGACTGTATCTTAATTTTTGTTCGTATGTTATTATTGTACTCTCGTCGACCAAGCAATATATCGCTGCTAAACTAAAGCGCGTTTTCCTCACTGCCAAATAACGTATCGGGAGATTAAATACAAGCCCGTTAACATTTTGAAGTTGCACCATGTTTTCTATGTTGGTGTCTTGTGGTACATATGATGGTAGTGTTTTTGCGTTAGAATATCACCATCATACTATTGATACTGCTGGTCCGAAACTGTTAAAGCCAATATTCATCGATCCTACAGCACATCCTGCGCCAGTCACAACAATAGCTACAAAGGATGATGTGGTTATTTCTGGAAGTAGCGATGAAATTATTCAGGTTAGTTCACGAAGTTTTGAATCTTTACGTATATGCACTGACAAATGTCTTAAAACTATACCACTATCTTTGTGTATTTGTTCGAGTGTACATTGATTTACTGCACCAAAGTAAGAAGCAGTCGAAGAGTTGTGACCTGTTATTTTTTTCCAACGTACCTTTGTCTTCCTGGTTACAGAGCTAATTTATTATTATTTATTTAAACATAGATATTGGTACAAAGGGGCAACAGATATATACGCGCCACACATCAGAGCTAAAGCTTTTACCAATACCACTATCAAAACAATATAGTAGGACTAGGTGTGTTACAATCTACAGGTCTCTTCCCCAATAACTACGTCCTCATGTTAAACCAAACTGATCTGTAACCAGATATTGCCCTGGTTGTATTTTCAAACCAACCATAGTAACTGTTAGTTGTTTTCTATTTAGTGAATATAAAACATTCCTCATATTTACGCTTACTTAATGCATTGGGATCACAGAAATAAACAAGCTAGCATATTTCTTGACACGTTGGTTTCTGGTTAGTATAGTGATAAATTAACATTTGTAGGAAAAAACAAGTTCCATTGATTGACAGTAGGTTAGTTCTCATCAGAACATCTAGGTAGTTAGAACTTGCAGTGATTTTTTCAATAGTGATACAGAAGTCTCAATTTTGTTTTTCTTAGGTATTTTCAGTACATACAAAAACTCGTGTAGGTGCACTCGAAATGCATGTTGGGACCATAAGGCAGCTCAAATTTATTACAGAACCATATGACTCGGCGTACTGTCATTTTTTCAGTGCTGGTGATGATGGATGTATTGGTATTTGGCGTTGCGAATCCCCGGGAGGTAAACTTATCAAATGCCCACATCCATCGGCTTGGGAGTGTATTCGTCAAATTCGTCGCCATAAAGGGTCAGTCCAAAGTATGGCAGTGCACCCTTCCAACCGCTGCCTTTTCTCCATCAGTGCAGACAAAACGTTTCGTATATGGAATCTTCTTCGTGGTCGACAGGCTTATGCTGTTAGACTAAAAAATCTGGCAAATGAAGCAAATAAAATCTCAATGTCACCTACTGGTAATCGCCTTCTTTTTATTTGGCCGAATAAATTCGATATGGTTGACCTTCTTAGTGGATCGCAAATAAGCTTTGATACTAGCAAAAATGAAGCCTTCATTGTTGGCAGCGTTCAGTTTCCTAATCTTCTTACTTCAGACCCTACTTTCTTCAGTGAAGATGATGAACTCTGTAGTCAAAAGTCTTCAGACCCTTTATTTGCATATGTATTGGTTGGTATTGACGCATCACTCACTTTGATTAAATTCAACGTCCGAAATAACACGTCTGAGCCATTGACACCTAAAATTACAAGCAAAGTACTTTTGCCGGGTAAACGAATCAAATTCATTCAGGTTCTACACTGGCCATCCTATCTGGCAGAAAAAGAACCAATGTGCTGTGGACGTAGTCGGTTGGTAGTAGTTGTTACGACAGACGCTGATGGCAGCCATTTACGAGGTTATGCTGTAAATCTCAACTCAACAGACATCCTTGAGCCAGGAAGTTCATTCATCCCTTTGTTCACATATGACGTCCCAAGCACTCGAATTACCACCCTAGCCGCCACCTGGACTTCAACTAGTCACATGCATCATCCGGAAGACAAAATTACTCCCTAGCGAAATCGATTCCAAATTATATCTACCTGTAAATTTATTATGTAAATAAAATCACGTCATTCTCCGTTTTCATCGGTATTAATTAAAACCAATTCACTAAACATGTAGCCGAACTAACGAGAAAATCAAATACCCACGTAAATACACAAAAGTGGTTGGTGAAATGAACAAAAAAGCTACACGCCTGAGACATTTACAGCCTTGAATCTATGCACTATATTTTGTATGCTGTAATATTCCACAGATATGAAACTCAAACACTTCTTCTCTCTTAAGACTGAGTCACACACAATAGTTTTGTTGAGGTATCTCGAAGGTAAGTGTAGTGTTTCCTTAAAAATCGGGGCTTTAATACGTCTATTCACAATAGTGAACTTAGTTTACTCAACAGCTCCCTTCAATCATTAGTAAATGTCGAAAAAACCGACCGTAACTGTTGCATTGACGTGGTTAGCGGGTTTGCCTATCGTGATGAACCAACCGAGCTACATTGGCTGAAACATATGTCTCTATAGGTTCTAGCATGCCAGACAGCTCCCAAATGTCTTGGTACGACTGGTATCTGTGGCCTCGCTGATGTAGGTATAGCATTGAGTCCTAGGGCAGAACTAGCTCTTTTGGACTGGACAGTAGACAGTCATCTGTGCGTTGTCCGACTAAACGGGACAGTGAGGACTCGGAAAGATAGGGACACTCGTCGTTGCTTCTTCATCGTCTCTGCCCACTCTTCAACTGACTGCACCTCAGATGATGTAAAAGATGAGTTTTACAGAAAGCTTTCCGACCTTCTCCGAAAAGCTAGGAACTCTGATGTCGTAATAGTGGCTGGTGACTTCAATGCTCAAGTAGGTAAACTAAGCGAAAGGGAAAGACATCTGGGTGGATCTTCTCTGTTGTCGTGGCTAAAAGAACAGATAATGGTCACCGTCTGTTGCAGCTATGCTCAGATAACCGCCTGTTCCTTGCAAATACTAACTTTAAGCATAAGGAAAAACATCTTTTGAGATGATGACCCCCGAATTCGTCCCAACGTTGGACCCAAATAGATCACATCACTATCAGCCACCGATGAAGGGGTTCGATAGGAGACTGTCGCTCATTCTGGAGCACATGTTTAGATTCAGATCATGCTCTAGTGCGTGCACGTATCTGTCTGCATCTTACTGGACGTAGGAAAGACGCTGCAAAGAATCCTCAGGGTTCTACTTAATGATAGGCAAGCTAATAATACATTTCAGGAACAACTAGAAAAACAGTCAGGCATCCATGTAAGTTTAGCCCACCCCGAGGCAGCGTGGAATGACATCCGAAAAGCTTTGGAAACAGCAGTGATATCTACTAGTACGGTGAACCATAAGGTTATGGAAAAACAATGGATCTCGGCAGCATATACTGCACTGATAGATGCTCGAAAACTCATCCCATCTGGCTCTGAACATAACAAGAAGCGTTGTCAGCTTGAGCGCAGGCTAATAAGAAGCCTACGCGATGGCCACGAACAATAGTGCGTACCGAAAGCAAGAGAAATGGAAAAGGCAGCGGCAATAGGTAACAGCAGACAACTGTTCAAACTTGCTAGGGAAACCGGTATTAGAATAAAAACCGTTAGCGAAACCATCTCGGAAAACGATGGATATATTATTCACTCTCAACCCAGGAGATTGGATCGATGGACAGAACACTTTAGGGATCAGTTCAACTGGCCTTCAGCCACACTTCGGTTTCCCACGATCCCCAGTCGACCTAAATGGCAAGTTAGTGTAAGTCCTCCAACTGTTTACGAGGTTGAAAAAGCTATAGGAAATCTGAAGCGAGGGAGAGCAGCAGGTCCTGACAGGTTTACCCCTGAAATTTTTAAGGATGGTGGTCCAGTATTAGCAGCGAAATTGATTGAGGTCTTAGGTAGGTGTAGACTACCTCGTTGGGGTTAGCGAGATGATAACAATCAATGGTTAGATACCTTGAATGACATGGCTCAAAATCGTTTGCAATGGCAAAGGTGCATCCACTCTTTGTGTTCTCCCAAATTCTAATCTTCTGAATTCTTCATGTTTCTATCTTTTTTCTCTTTCCAAATTTATTTCACTGGATTATACTCCCTGAATAACATCTTCAAACCCTAATCTTTCGGGTTACTGCTCATACTCTTACTACCTCTACCACTATGGGATTTGAATCGACAACTGCATCTCTGTGGTAATGTGGTATGGCAACTCGAACTGATGTACGTACGTACAAAGTTCTACGTTGTGACTGACTGACTGATATGTTAAGTATATACACGTGTTCCTGTTATCGAACCATGTTTAAAACGAAATATATTTTTCTGCACTAGATTTTACCTGTTTTTTAAAAGCATCAAAGGCGTTTCTAACATCAATTTACGACGTGAAATAATAAATAAAGATCCCTTGTTTGCGTTAACAACAAAATAAGTAACCTTTGTTAAAGTAAAACAAGATTTGTAGCTTTTCTGATTTCAAACTGAGTGGATCTAACTTTTCATTTTGGAAACTAATTATCCTAAAAAAAGAACCACAGATTCAAACACTCAAAGAAATATAGCTATTATATTTAGCTATGTTGCGTTTCAAAATATCTGAACACGGACCCATGACACGCTCAAATCGTTTGCGGTCAAGTTTCACGCAACGTAGAGTACCTTGGGCAACAACAGTGGCTGCACGTGGTCGATCAAGCAGTAAAGCAATCTCACCTATGTAAAACAAATTCGAAAATCTAAATAAGTGTGCAGAAAATTGGTAATATATTAAATTCTAACAGAAATTGTCAACAATACTTCTTACGGTGCTATTATTGTATAAAATGAAGGCATATTATTTGGGAATATGTACCGACATATGTGGATGGAAAGAGTAACTGATAGTTGTGCGTTAGGATTTCTGAACTAAAATATCCTCCAATTATTCAAGTGCTAGATTCTAGAAAAATACCACTTTCCAATATTCACATTACTTGATTTATTATGTAAAACTTCCTATCTTGTAAACATCACTCGTTAATTCTATTACATATAATCGTTATGTAATAGAATTAACGAGTGATGTTTACAAGATAGGAAGTTTTACTGTTCCCAACTTAACCAGAAATTCTTTGAAGTAACAAGTCCGATACAGTACGACGAAATAAAGTTGAATGATACGAACAAACAAACTTTAGTGACATATCACTTTGCCGGAGTTTTTCCTCAGTGTGCAATCAGGAGAAAAACTGGAAAATCCCATTAAAAAGCAACCTGACATTTAGATTGAACACTTGAAGTTAATTTACAGTCCAGTTCAAATATTGTAACCTGCTACACATCTAGGATCACTGTATCTATTACTTCCAAATATAGATTTTTATCTGAACCTAGAGACAGAAAAATCAACATTGTGGTGTATAACATAACATCTTAACAGAGTACTATTTTCATAGATATACGTACATCAGGGAGGTGAAGCAGTTTTTGGCTAGAATAGAATCCGTTTAGTCAAGAATTGCAACACACTCACCAAGCCAAGTCCCATGTTTTGAGTCAGTTTTTTATTCAGATGAGTGACGTATTTATCGAAACGTACCAGTAAGGTACGTCAAGGACGAGGTCGTATGTTCATATTTACTAGTAAGGTATCCTCAAATCAATTAGTCTACTTTGTCAAAATAACCTTTTCTTGTAGATGAAACAGCGAGGCATGTACACTATTTATTTATCGCTCAGACGATCACTAGTTTTATAAAAACTTATATCTCTATCTGAATTTTTTCGATAAATTCCATCACCATAAACTTTTCAGATGATTTTGATGGTTCACACTCATCGAAAGAGAACTTATGCCTTTTCGATTACATGTGGTGGTTTATCATATTAACTAGGATAACGTGTCCTGAGGTCTATTAGAACGACCTCAGAATACACAACATATATAAAAATGAATGGCTCGATAGTAAATAATAACTGGTCTATTTTAGATTCAAGATGATTAAACCATCAATGTTTAACAAAGATAAAGGTGGACAGTTAGTCAACGATCAACTAATACGATGTGCGCAGGAAAATTTCACAATACGTTAGGTACTTATGAGTAACATACGTTAGATTGCACGAATCTAAGTCCTTTTTGTCTTGAACCTTACTGTAATGGAAGACACGCTTCCTAAAATACCAATCCACGAACTTTCGTAATGTTATTTCACTGAAATCCAAACGAGTCAATGTTTACTACACCTCATCCCAGAATTTTGGAGTGCATTTACAATTTACTCTTTAACGTTCTTGAAATTTACCTGGATTCACGAATGAAAAGATAAAAACTATTGAAACTCGTTTTTTTTAAGCGTTGAAAGACCTGGAATATGTTGACCTTCATTCAATTAATATAAATTAAGTGTATGATTACTTTCATAGAATAAAGTAGACATGGTTATACTCTAAAGACCAAAAGAAGTGTTACTTTCGTCTAGTGAATTCGAACTACTTCATATTCTAATTTCGTTCTTCAAACTCTTAACAGATTTATGGTGAAAAAAACTAGTGATAATGTCCAGAACTCTGCAGATAGCGATTAACATTAATTATTTGTGGCGAATAGCTACATTTTTATAGTGTTTAATTGAGGTATTTAATTCACTGTTAAGATATCAGCTACACGACGTAACACATCGTTAAATTGAGCGCTTTGATACCCTACGTTAAGCTAACAACTTATTCAAATTCTTCAAACAAATAAAACACTTACCAAAATAGTCTGATGGTCTTAATTTACCAACTTCAACTTGTTCACCGGATTCAGAAGGCCTTTGCAAAACAGCAGCTGTACCCTAAGAAGAAGCAAATAAACAAAAGTAGTAGTTATAACAGCTTCTGTTTATTTATTACTCTGCCACAAAACACAAAAACGAACCTAAAAGTAAGATAATAGGGTTAAAAGTTACAGCAACTTGAAAATAGAATTTTAATTTGCTTTATTACTTTAATTCTTCTCCTGTTCACCACTTTCAATGACTACTACAGGGACTTGAGCTAATTTCTTTGCTTATCACGTTTAGGACCATCTAGGGTGAATGGATCGCGTAACGATGTGAGATTCAACGATTGTTCCTAAGGCTCAGTCACAAACAATGTGATTCGCATAGCTGTTTTTGAACACAATTGCAAGCTTAAGTGTTTGGACGATTGTATAGTAAGTTTCTCTATAAACAAACTTATCTTCGAACCAGAAGTACAAAATTTTCCTACGTAAGTGGCTTGAATGCAAAAAGTGGATAAAATGGTCCAGAAGCATTAGCAGACGCTTAATGATTGATTCTGATAATGACAAGTAACATTGCCACATAACTATGTATAGTGCTCATTATATGTGAAAAAAAAATAATTGAAATAGTCTCAGCGATTGAAATATAAATAATTCCAACGTTTCTCCCAGCTAACTTGTCTGGACTTCTTCAGGGAAATAATTTCAATCGCTGAGACTATTTCAATTATAATTTTTTCACATATAATGAATTCTCTATACTCGGCGCCCAATTATTGTCAAACTATTCGTTCTAACCTTGACGAATATTCGTATATGTATAGTGCTGTTTTAGAATTGCAAAAAACACAGAAATTGTCATTGACGAAGCCAAAATACGGTCCCTGGTTAGACTAAAACGGTTGATTAATGCTATCAGATCTTTAGACCAGTACATTCCAGCTCTATCATTGATAGATTCGTGAACACATGGGTTTATATACCAACAAGCTGAACCACATCACACCATAAAACAAAAAATTACAATTGTGCACAAACAAGCCAAGAGTGGATGTAAATAGTAAGAGCTGAGGATAACTGATTCATAATAAATTAGAAACAAAAGTTTCTGAGCAAAACGAAGGCGTACGACAAAAGGAATATAAAGATAAAGTAATTCGGTCACTTAGTAATCATACAATAAAGACATATACATAAAATAATCCATAGAGCAACTCCGCCTGTAGCTCTTCTAAAATTACTCCCGGCACCAAGCCCGGGTAAAGCAGGAAGGGTTGTGTATGGGGTAGGCAACCCCATCCAGTAGAAAACAAACTCGCTAAAAATGTCAAACAAATTAAAACATTTAAACCCTGCCCTCCGAGTGCAAAGAAGAATTATGGCGCCTCACGACGAAAGCCGAGATTCTTCGGAAATCGCGAGGCCGATGCCCCTTCTAACAACCAGAGCAACAATTTTTATAAGTACATGGAACGCCAAAGTGGAAATGGACAACATCGGATATGAAGGTATCATGAGACGACATGGACTGGGAGAGTGAAACGAAAATGGCGAGAGACCTTCAAACCTATGCACACTCAACAAATTGGTTATAGGTGGAACAATACTCTCACACAAACGCATACAAAAAGCTACATGGGTCTCACCACGGAGAACCAGATAGATATTTTTATCAATAAAAAATTCAGAAGGACAATGAAAGATGCGAAAACCAGGAGAGGAGCTGACATAGCTCCAGATCACCACCTGGATGTGGCCAAAATGAATTTGGAGCTAAATAAACACTAAACAGTAATACAAAGGTTCAATACAGCCTTCCTACGAGATACTAAAAAACTCAACCAATTCATAATAACTCTCAACAGCAGGTTCAAAGCCTTGCAGGATAAACTGAAAAAATAAACCACGATGGAGGACAATCGAAAGGGATCAAAGAAGCATTAACAACAGTCTAACAAGAACAGATAAAGTCAAGGCACATGCCGAACACAGAGAGGCAAACAAGGGAGCATTAGAGCTGACAAGCAGAAATACGTGGAAGAGCCAGAAATGACAGCTGAAATAGAAGAAAATGAGACAGCTACATGGCACAACGAAGAAACTATCAGGGAAATATAGTAAATCAGAGAGACGAGTCAAGGATAAAAAAAGACAAGACAGTCACCAAGATTCAAGAACAGATGGGTAGAGTACTTCAAGGAACTCTTGAATAGATCAGCCCCACTGAACCCACCGGACATCGAAGCAACACACACAGATGTCACCGCACCACCAACGAAAGAAATCAGGATGGCAATCTGTTATGCTTGACACTAAATCGATTCCGCGGTAACGAACGAAAGCCAATGACACGATAAGCTATTCTAATCGGTTGTCCCAGGCCCCGCTAACTAGATGAAGAAGTCCAAGGCAAGTAGGGGAATATATATGTATTCCGTAAGCAGCCGAGTACAAGCAATCGAATAATGGAAAAAATCAAGCGCATTTATATAACAACAATTTGTCCTTGAGCATCATTGGTAAATAGCACACACAAAGAAACAATGGACCAATAGCGGTTAAGATAGTTTACAGGTGGGAAATATGACGTGAAGGTAAAAAGAGCGCTTTTGGCGCGAAAACAGCTAAATTCAAATTCTCAAAATAAAACTACAAGATTAAGCCATTTACCAAGTAAGTTCTGGGGATTTGACATCCCCAACACAATCAGACAAATCAAGAGTGGGAAAGCAGCAGAACCTGACAATAAACCAGCTGAAGCACTGAAGTCAGACGTAGAAGTAACTGCAAGTATGCTTCACTGTCTATTCGGAAGATTTAAAAGGAAGAACAAGTGCCACAAACAAACTGGAAAGAAGGATACCTCATAAAGACACCAAAGAAAGATCTGAGCAAGTGTGGCAACCATAGAGGCATCGCACGACTGTCAGTACGGGGAAAAATTTTCAACAGAGTGTTGCTGAACCGGATGAAAGAAGCAGTAGACGCCCAACTTCGAGGTCAATAGGCGGGATTCCATAGGGATCGGTCGTGCACAGATCAAATCGCGATACTACGAATCATCATTGAATAATTATTTGAGCGGAACTCGTCACTACAATAGACAGCTCGGAATATACTAGAAAATTTGGACTTGGCAAAGCAAGTACCGCATTCCTACAACTGAAGAATATCTGGGACTCAAAGCAACTGTCAACCAATATCAAAGTCACAATCTTCAATACGAACGTTAAGAAAGTTCTACTGTACGGATCTGAAACTCGGAGAACTTCTATAACCATCATCAAAAAGGTAAAACTATTTATGAACAATTGTCTATGTAAGATACTCAATGTCTGTTGATTGGATACCGTCAACAACATCCTACTGTGGGAGAGGAAAAACCAGCTTCCAGGTAAAAAGGAAATTAGGGAAAAACGTTGCAACTGGATAGGACACACATTGAAGAAATCATCAAACTGTATTACGAGGTAAGCGCTAATTTAGAATCCTGAAGATAAAAGGAAAATAGGAAGATCAAGAAACACATTGTGTCGGGAATTGGAGGCAGACATGAAAAGGATGAACAGCAGCTGGAAAGGATTTTCTAGTACATGGTTGGATGGAGAGTGCAGGTGGGCTCCACGAGGTGTAACAGATGTAAGTAATTCATAAAGCAGTTGCAGGAGTTACCATTTCTCCAGTCTTCGTTCCGATAAATCACATATTATATAACCAAGACGCAACATCATCAATAAACTACGAGGATCTGATGAAGACGTAGAAGCACGACTTGACACTGCAAAGGCGATATTACGACAACTGAAGAATATCTGAAACTCAAAACAACTGTCACCCAATGCCTAAGTAAGAGTATTCAACACTAACGTTAGAACAATTAAATTGTATAGGGCTGAAAATTAGAGAACTGTCACCACCACCATCAAAAGAGTAAAAGTACTCAAACAACTGTCTACGTGCAGTACACCAAACCCATAAGCGATATGCTACTGCTACTATGGAAAAGAAATAACAAGCTCCCAATTGACGAGACTAGAAAAGACACCGAATGTGATTAAATCATTAAAGTGTATCAAAAAGCAGACACCAACCTGGAATCCTCAAGACATATGGCGCTGGGAGTCGGACGCAGAAACCAAGATTATGAATAGCACTTGGTAACAACTGTAAAGGAAAGCCCAGGACAGAGCAAGTCGCAGATCTTTAGTTGACAGCTCAAGGCCCAGGAAACGACAACAAACTTAAGTTAGTACATCTGTACAATTTATGACATTATGAACATACTTTATGGGATTTCCCAAAGCATATCACTCAGTTCTGAATGATGTTGGTAGGTTTGCCGATTCCGAATATCTTATATTATGTTAATAACAACTGATAAAACATATTAACCACAACAAGAAACAAATTTCCTGTCCTAAGAAGAAAACACTGTACCTCTGTAATAATAAAGAAATCATCACCATGTTCACCTTGACGTACAACAACTTCACCATCTTCGAAACGGACTGGTTCTAGAGCATCTGCTACAGTTAATCGTTCCCATTTGTCAAGATTATCTATAATGAAATTCAAAGATACCATATATATATATATAAACCTGGAGCTTAACAAATGTAAGATGAATACTACAAATTGTTTTAGTATAGGTTTGCATGAATAGTTTAGCTTGCAATTAACATCAGGGACTGACTTTGTCTGCGGAACGAAAACCAAGTAACACCTACAATCATTTTCCTCTTGTATAAGACTCCTAATGAGTCTTACCTATGATTCATCAGGCCTATAGGCGAGAGAATTAAACTTAGAATACTGATTTGGAAACCAATAGCAATATCGTGCTGTATGGCATTTTGGACAATGGACAGGGTTTCTCGAGAAAAAATTCAGCTGGTCTGTCGCTCCAGAAAACTACCTGCTTTAGCTTTTATACCTTGAGAGTATTCCACTCAACACAAAGATTTATGATGATCATTATAATTAAATATTCGATCTATGGTTCGAAAGCACTCTAACTGTTTTCGAAGTTGCATAGTCACTCACAAGTTTATATTACGGTGTCTTCATTTTATTCTTTATCCGCGTTTTGTGTATGTCTCTAGTTTTCGACTCACTCAAAGACACGCCTATGGTGAAAGTTCTATCCTTTCCAAACGCCGTCAATTCGCTGATTGGTCGAAATCACGAGTGTTTCCGTTGAATACAATCCTGATACAGCTTTCCTGAAACCACGTGTATCATTCAAATTGGTGTCCAATGTTCACACACTAATGCAGATCGAACAATAGATAGGTTTGTTTGTATCTTTCGGAAGTCTTAACATCGACGTCTGTTGTTCATCCAAAACTTCATTGACCTACTGCGGATACTCTCTCCATCTGTTGGTCATAAAGTTCTGTGTCAGTGTCTATCATGGAAAGGCGTATCAAAAAAGTACATTGACCTTGCACAACATCTCTATTCGAGTCAGAGCTTATTAGAACCCCCATCGGCATTGGTTTTCTTAATTGATGTTCATTAGGGTTGTGCAACCTCCCGATTTTTAAACTTGTCATAGATGCTCTTTTAGAGATAGCACTCTTCGGAGTCTCATCAGTATTGATTGTTTGCTGTCTAACGAAATTTACGCACGGATTCTGAAAGCTCGACCGGCTTTTGCCAACTGGCGTTACTCGTGGCGTAGGCGAGATATCCGTCTGTCAAACAAACGACGAGTTTACTGCACAGAAGTCCGCTTCGTTCTATTTAATGTTTGTAAAACATGGTCATTAGGAGCAGAGGGTATTCGTTGGTTAGATGTTTTTAGAGCATCGTTTCTGAATGTTGGGACCGCCGAGTACGAAGTGTCAGAGTTAGCAACAGAATACCAGACAAAGATGGTAAATAGATTGATGAGGTAGTAAAACTTCCCCGACTAAGGTGGCTGGGACATATTACGCGTGCCCAACCATCGCCTACCTTGACAAGCGCTATTGTCCTGTATGGTAGTAGGTTGGGAGAAAGCTATAAGCGGCTAAAACATGGCATCACTCCATGAAGTCATTGACAATTAAACTGAGCTATGTTAACACGTGTAGATAACCTGATTTAGGTTCGCGTGATTATCGTAGACAGTGGTAGGAAAATTGAATGATATGGCTCAAATCGTTCACAATAGCGCAGATGCATCCACTCTTTATCATTCTTCCTATCACGAGCTTCTGAATTCGTTATGAATTTTTTTATTTCACTAATTTATATCTTGAATCATATCTTTGATACATAATCTTTCCTATCACCACTGATACTGTTACTAACTCTTCTACTCTGTGATTTGACATAATAATTTGAACTAGCAGTGCTAATGAGGTGAGGCAATTTGAAACGATGTACATAGGTACCAGATTCTACGTTGCGTTTGACTGACTGGGCATCTGTCGATCCGAACAGCATGTTTCATGTACATTTAACCAGCGACCTTGTGGTATCTTTGCTCGGTTTTTCTGGCTTTGGTGTCACTCTATGTGCTGGATTAGAATCAGCACCCATAGATTGAATCTCCATTAACACCAGGTTACATACTGTTAGATTAGAAAAATTCATCAAAGTGAAAAGAAATCGGTATGGAAAACTATGTCTTCTAGTCATCTCCGCCTACACTCCGACAGACTGCAACCCCGATGCTATCAAGGATGAGTTCTACCACAAGTTAAATGATCTCAAGAAAGCCCATTCGACAGATATTGTAGTACTAACCGGAGATTTGAATGCGGAAGTCAGACGTCTAGACACAGAGAAGAGTTGTTTGAGTGGCCAATGAGGACTCAGTCTCAGGTCAGATAACGCGGACCGTCTCTTGCAGCTTTGCGCAGACCATAACCTGTTTCTGGCCAGGATCAGCTTTCAGTACAGTTATCCCCATTGTGCCACCCGGTACCATCCCTCTGCAACCCAAGTCTGGACTTAGACCGATCACATCACAATCAGCCACCGTTGGAGTGGTTGTGTACAAAGCTGGCGCCCCTTTGGAGTACTTATCTGAACTCCGGATGTTTCAGTGGCCGATAAATTCACTGTCACTAGAAGAGTCAATGTAAGCAAATCTACTGCAACTCCAGTCGTAAAACATATCAAACCTAACTAGATTCAAGTCTAGCTATCAACCCACTGGAAAGTGTAGACAAGCATTGACTGCATTTACATGATGCAATGAAAACGGAGAGTAAAGTCTCTTGTGGCTACGCAAAACGTCCCATGCACAGGCATTAGGTTTCTATAGGTTCCCAACAACTCCTTGAGGCACGTCAGTCTACTTCGGCTAACCGCGAGTTTGACGATAAACGTGAATTCTTACGTAGTGAAATTGTGCAAAGTTTATGTAAAAACAGTGACGCCCGGTGACCTGGGTGATTCAACGAGTTGGAAGCAGCAGATAGATCTGGAAGTTGTTCCAACCTACCCGAGGCACTGGTAACGAGAAGTCTGTTGTGAGTGAAATAATCTGTGGAGCCGGTGATACTTCTGTCAGTAACATTCAACCGCATTTCAGACAATGGACAGGGTTTCTCGAGAAACAATTCAGCTGGTCTGTCGCTCCAGCAGCGTCGCTTAGATATCTGTTCTTCCTAGTCGGTGACGACTGTCCCCCCAACAAGGCGGAGGTCTCCAAGAATCTCCCACTTTTGAACCACCATAGGCCATCAGGTCCAAAGGATCTATTCCAGACTCTATGGGGATAGTGGTGAACTTCTGACTGGGTTTTTTGAAAATATATGGGAAACAGATTATACCCCTTGCTCCTTTTTTACTTCACTACGTTATGTGTATCTGTGTGGCGTACTCTATTTATATACACAGTCGTATCAGAACTCTCGTTTGTAATTAAACACAAAAAGTCACTGGAGCGTGACCTAACTACCTATAAAATGGAAATAAGTGTCCAGATCATGCCTACATTGTGATATAAAGTCTGCGTAGATACGTTTGTTTGCTTATATTTATATATGGGTGTTAAAGTCTTGCTTATTCAGCTCAGTTACTTCGCTAGCCTAGTATATTTCGGACACTAGTCCACTCAACTGGTTCTCATATCAGAACACGGCTTGTACAGAAACGTAATTATGTTCTAAAGCAAAACAGCAAGTTAAATAAGTTGGTGTTACAATAAGAATTAATGTTTATGATTTTTACACAGGAAGATTCTAAAGTCTTTGCCACTCATCCACTAGCTCTGGTGGGCCCACTTTGTCCAATTTAAGTTAGGGACTTGGAAAAAAACTACCCTCCCAACCTTACTTATCTTTTACTTTGCAACTTTTTATTCGATTGACTTTCTAAAATCTGGCTTTACATTTATTTAGTGATATATTTGATGCCATGTTCCCTGTACATCGTAATTCAGGAGATGTGATTATTCAGCAAGGAGATGAAGGTGATAATTTCTACATAATCGACCAGGGTGAGGTTGATGTAAGTTGAATATATTAATTTATATAGTCATATTTTTATTCACCTATACGGTTTCTCAGTAGACGTATATCATTACTTGTTAAGAGTTGCACGTTCATCACACTTTGTTAATAAGGAGTAATGATAGCCAAATGCGAGTAATCCATATATGGAAAATGTTTTACTACAGTATTGTAATCACTATCGACTTTCTTAAACTGAATTAGCCAGTGATTTGTCTTATATAGTTATGTAAAATGTGATATATCGTAGACGTGACAAATTAACTAATTGAACATATCAAAACTCAAATATAGTTAACTCATTTCTGTAGGACCAGAAGGTAATCTCATACTGATGGTATGTTAACTGTATTACCCATTTGGGTCCGATATCAAGGGATTTGGAGCGTCTTAGTTAACTGATACATAAGGGTCGGATAACTTGTACATGATCCTATTATTTTAGGATTATATATATATTAGAATGCTTGTAATAGAAGTCACGAAAGTTTCGTACATATCAGTTCATCGTGAGAATGGCGCACTTTGAATTTTGTATATCATTCCCTTATTTTCGACCACATTTGTCTTAGAATTTAGATTGTAGTAGTATGTACAGTAAACTTGCATTCACCAGTCAGTCACAACGTAGAACTTTGTACGTACGTACATCAGTTCGAGTTGCCATACCACATTATCACAGAGATGCAGTTGTCGATTCAAATCCCATAGTGGTAGAGGTAGTAAGAGTATGAGCAGTAACCCGAAAGATTAGGGTTTGAAGATGTTATTCAGGGAGTATAATCCAGTGAAATAAATTTGGAAAGAGAAAAAAGATAGAAACATGAAGAATTCAGAAGATTAGAATTTGGGAGAACACAAAGAGTGGATGCACCTTTGCCATTGCAAACGATTTTGAGCCATGTCATTCAAGGTATCTAACCATTGATTGTTATCATCTCGCTAACCCCAACGAGGTAGTCTACACCTACCTAAGACCTCAATCAATTTCGCTGCTAATACTGGACCACCATCCTTAAAAATTTCAGGGGTAAACCTGTCAGGACCTGCTGCTCTCCCTCGCTTCAGATTTCCTATAGCTTTTTCAACCTCGTAAACAGTTGGAGGACTTACACTAACTTGCCATTTAGGTCGACTGGGGATCGTGGGAAACCGAAGTGTGGCTGAAGGCCAGTTGAACTGATCCCTAAAGTGTTCTGTCCATCGATCCAATCTCCTGGGTTGAGAGTGAATAATATATCCATCGTTTTCCGAGATGGTTTCGCTAACGGTTTTTATTCTAATACCGGTTTCCCTAGCAAGTTTGAACAGTTGTCTGCTGTTACCTATTGCCGCTGCCTTTTCCATTTCTCTTGCTTTCGGTACGCACTATTGTTCGTGGCCATCGCGTAGGCTTCTTATTAGCCTGCGCTCAAGCTGACAACGCTTCTTGTTATGTTCAGAGCCAGATGGGATGAGTTTTCGAGCATCTATCAGTGCAGTATATGCTGCCGAGATCCATTGTTTTTCCATAACCTTATGGTTCACCGTACTAGTAGATATCACTGCTGTTTCCAAAGCTTTTCGGATGTCATTCCACGCTGCCTCGGGGTGGGCTAAACTTACATGGATGCCTGACTGTTTTTCTAGTTGTTCCTGAAATGTATTATTAGCTTGCCTATCATTAAGTAGAACCCTGAGGATTCTTTGCAGCGTCTTTCCTACGTCCAGTAAGATGCAGACAGATACGTGCACGCACTAGAGCATGATCTGAATCTAAACATGTGCTCCAGAATGAGCGACAGTCTCCTATCGAACCCCTTCATCGGTGGCTGATAGTGATGTGATCTATTTGGGTCCAACGTTGGGACGAATTCGGGGGTCATCATCTCAAAAGATGTTTTTCCTTATGCTTAAAGTTAGTATTTGCAAGGAACAGGCGGTTATCTGAGCATAGCTGCAACAGACGGTGACCATTATCTGTTCTTTTAGCCACGACAACAGAGAAGATCCACCCAGATGTCTTTCCCTTTCGCTTAGTTTACCTACTTGAGCATTGAAGTCACCAGCCACTATTACGACATCAGAGTTCCTAGCTTTTCGGAGAAGGTCGGAAAGCTTTCTGTAAAACTCATCTTTTACATCATCTGAGGTGCAGTCAGTTGAAGAGTGGGCAGAGACGATGAAGAAGCAACGACGAGTGTCCCTATCTTTCCGAGTCCTCACTGTCCCGTTTAGTCGGACAACGCACAGATGACTGTCTACTGTCCAGTCCAAAAGAGCTAGTTCTGCCCTAGGACTCAATGCTATACCTACATCAGCGAGGCCACAGAGACCAGCATCATTGCTTCCAGATACACGAAGCGTGAATCGAGTTGGTTCTTTTTTTGACGTGGTGAGGTCAAATGAATGACGGTACTCGGACCTTGTATGCACTTTTCGGAGATGCAGCACACATCGGTGGTGCGAGATTCTAAAGTTCTAGCTAAAGAAGCCTGTTGTCGTATTTCGCACAATGTTCGGGCATTACAAGCTCGTACATGTAGTTTAGAGCGCGGTTTCAGGAGACCGTGAATAACGTTCCACGCACTCGGATCGTTTGCTCTAGCGGTGCAAGGTGATAAAGGATGTGAGAAGTGTTAGTCGTAGAGATAAGAGAGTTATTAGGAGGTGTAGGAAGGATTTGAATGTGACCAACTTGGTCTCGTGTGTTATTACGGGTATGAAGGCTAACATCACTTCCTGGCTGCCCACACAGTGAAGGGTATTTCTTGAGGGACCTGAGAAGGAAGTTGGATTAGTGTTTGTCTTAACTACCTGGGAGCGTGACCGCAGAACCCAAGAGACAACTGATTGGGGCCGATCGCGCACAGCCTTTTTGTGAGAGGTTTTTGACGTGTTAGCTACGTTCTTCAAAGGGACTTACCGCCGGAGACGGAAATCCGTGAGGTGTGACATTTTTACGGTCAACCTTTTCTAACCCCTTCCGTCCTTGTCGGGAGGCAACATCGCTGCAGATGCTGGTTGTCCGAGGGAAACACCTTACTGCTGTCACAGCTCCCTACAGTCAGCAGTACTACTTCGCCCTTAGACCTTGATTTGCTGGTTTTAATCTTACCGTTCCCCAACCGATATGCCTTATTTATTTATTTTATTTAAACATAAATATTGGTACAAGGAGGCACTAGATATATATGCGCCTCACAAATCTCATTTGATTTGTGTGAGGGCTGTCATACTGCCCAGGTGCCCAAACTGAAACAGGTAGTTTTCTTAGGGGGCCACACCCCGAGCCTTTGACCTAAAGGTCTTATCCACAAGGCAGTGAAGCGTCGTGAGAAGATGTAGTCCCATGGTAGCCGGTGACCAACGACTGATTCATACGCCATTTGTTCCCTCAGGATAAGGGAGCCCATGTGCGCCATTGGTTTGGAATCAGGGGTTTCTAACTCCCCTGAGCGGATTTCCCGTGTCCACCAGGCAGGTTAAAGCGGCGGACATTCACTTTTCGTCCTCTCGATTTCGTAAACAACACCCCAGCCACGAGAAGGCAGTGAGTAGGACTTCCCTGGCAGAGGCTATATACGCGTGGCCATATGAGAGCATTTCGAGAGGGACAGCAGACTCTCCCCACTCTCAGCCGTACCAAGACATCTGATGGCTGCCTGGCATGGTAGAACCTACAGGAACATATGTTCCAGCCAATATAGCTCGGTCGGGTCATCCCGATAGGCAAGCCCGACCACCACGTCAAAGTAACAGCTACGATTGGGGTATTCACCAGGATTTGTTGACAGTTCATACAAGTAGGCTTTTTTATGGTTGTATGGATCCACTTTCTTAAGGGTAATTTTGAATTAAATCCATGAGCATAAAGACTTTTGCTCAATGATCCAACGGAAATTGACAACCTCATTAGCCTCGGTGGTTTGTTGTCTGACAAAATATTGATACAGGTTCAGAAAGCCCTCTTGGTACGACACGTTTATACTGATTAACTAAAATTCTAATTTTTAACAACTTCCATTTTAAAAGTGTGGTAGACAAAGTGCTCTCTGATCACGAGACTTTGAACATATAATTATGACATTTTCTGACCCAGAATCACCTATCTCAATATTTCACAATATTAAAAAAAAGTTTGAGTTAAAGATGATTGTGGAAGTGTTTCGTATGCTAAATCAAAGTAATGCATAATAAAAATCTCAGAAAACTACTAAAAATCATACCTAAAATAGGTACACGACATAAGAATTCTTGATACACTTTCCGACGACGAATAGTACTCCCCATCAGTATTCTTCTATAAGAATCCCTATCAATACCCCATAATTTAACTTCCGTCTTCGCTTTAACCGTAGCTGCTCTAGGCGTGCCATAGATGAGAGCTAGTTCACCGAAACTACCCCCTTCGCCGATTGTACTACTATACTCATTATTGAGGAAGATCTATTTAAGAGAAATGAAATAATTAGAAAACAAATTTGAGAAATACAAAAAAATACCGGAAAAAAAGTAATTATAATATTCTCGTATATCTAAAAACAAATGAAGGAAACTAAATATTAGAATACAACTTTGGATAGAAATAAATTAAATCAATGCTATTGTTTATAAGATGAGAAAAGTATCCTCCATGATCTGGCTTGAATATGACTGTAGGCATAGGAGTATACAACACTAACGAGTGAAGTTTCATATACAGTTAATGTAATTGCATCAAAATCTAATGAATCTTGAAAAAAATAAAGGGGTGTAAAACTTATCAAATTACTAAAGTATAGACGCACTATAACAGTAAGGGAAAGTAAGCAGGGACGAAAACTAGACTAAAGCCAACAAAAAGATTTGACGAAGAACACAAAAAAGCTGACATTTAATTTTCTATTCATTGGGATATTACTAATACACCACTATTTTTATTATTACCAATCTATCTAATGCTCAATTTATTTAAAGTTATAAAGCTAAACCTCAGTAATGGTAATCACAACATTTGAAAGTGAAACGCTATGCCTGCACTATGGCACACCAGAGTCTCTTTCTACACACCATTAACGACCTGTCAGCCTAAAATTAATTTTGACTATGCCCTTCCAGGCATCCTAATTTTTTGTACAATAAGAGTTTCATTCCGGTCGACCGTAAAAATGTCACACCTCACGGATTTCCGTCTCCGGCGGTAAGTCCCTTTGAAGAACGTAGCTAACACGTCAAAAACCTCTCACAAAAAGGCTGTGCGCGATCGGCCCCAATCAGTTGTCTCTTGGGTTCTGCGGTCACGCTCCCAGGTAGTTAAGACAAACACTAATCCAACTTCCTTCTCAGGTCCCTCAAGAAATACCCTTCACTGTGTGGGCAGCCAGGAAGTGATGTTAGCCTTCATACCCGTAATAACACACGAGACCAAGTTGGTCACATTCAAATCCTTCCTACACCTCCTAATAACTCTCTTATCTCTACGACTAACACTTCTCACATCCTTTATCACCTTGCACCGCTAGAGCAAACGATCCGAGTGCGTGGAACGTTATTCACGGTCTCCTGAAACCGCGCTCTAAACTACATGTACGAGCTTGTAATGTCCGAACATTGTGCGAAATACGACAACAGGCTTCTTTAGCTAGAACTTTAGAATCTCGCACCACCGATGTGTGCTGCATCTCCGAAAAGTGCATACAAGGTCCGAGTACCGTCATTCATTTGACCTCACCACGTCAAAAAAAGAACCAACTCGATTCACGCTTCGTGTATCTGGAAGCAATGATGCTGGTCTCTGTGGCCTCGCTGATGTAGGTATAGCATTGAGTCCTAGGGCAGAACTAGCTCTTTTGGACTGGACAGTAGACAGTCATCTGTGCGTTGTCCGACTAAACGGGACAGTGAGGACTCGGAAAGATAGGGACACTCGTCGTTGCTTCTTCATCGTCTCTGCCCACTCTTCAACTGACTGCACCTCAGATGATGTAAAAGATGAGTTTTACAGAAAGCTTTCCGACCTTCTCCGAAAAGCTAGGAACTCTGATGTCGTAATAGTGGCTGGTGACTTCAATGCTCAAGTAGGTAAACTAAGCGAAAGGGAAAGACATCTGGGTGGATCTTCTCTGTTGTCGTGGCTAAAAGAACAGATAATGGTCACCGTCTGTTGCAGCTATGCTCAGATAACCGCCTGTTCCTTGCAAATACTAACTTTAAGCATAAGGAAAAACATCTTTTGAGATGATGACCCCCGAATTCGTCCCAACGTTGGACCCAAATAGATCACATCACTATCAGCCACCGATGAAGGGGTTCGATAGGAGACTGTCGCTCATTCTGGAGCACATGTTTAGATTCAGATCATGCTCTAGTGCGTGCACGTATCTGTCTGCATCTTACTGGACGTAGGAAAGACGCTGCAAAGAATCCTCAGGGTTCTACTTAATGATAGGCAAGCTAATAATACATTTCAGGAACAACTAGAAAAACAGTCAGGCATCCATGTAAGTTTAGCCCACCCCGAGGCAGCGTGGAATGACATCCGAAAAGCTTTGGAAACAGCAGTGATATCTACTAGTACGGTGAACCATAAGGTTATGGAAAAACAATGGATCTCGGCAGCATATACCGCACTGATAGATGCTCGAAAACTCATCCCATCTGGCTCTGAACATAACAAGAAGCGTTGTCAGCTTGAGCGCAGGCTAATAAGAAGCCTACGCGATGGCCACGAACAATAGTGCGTACCGAAAGCAAGAGAAATGGAAAAGGCAGCGGCAATAGGTAACAGCAGACAACTGTTCAAACTTGCTAGGGAAACCGGTATTAGAATAAAAACCGTTAGCGAAACCATCTCGGAAAACGATGGATATATTATTCACTCTCAACCCAGGAGATTGGATCGATGGACAGAACACTTTAGGGATCAGTTCAACTGGCCTTCAGCCACACTTCGGTTTCCCACGATCCCCAGTCGACCTAAATGGCAAGTTAGTGTAAGTCCTCCAACTGTTTACGAGGTTGAAAAAGCTATAGGAAATCTGAAGCGAGGGAGAGCAGCAGGTCCTGACAGGTTTACCCCTGAAATTTTTAAGGATGGTGGTCCAGTATTAGCAGCGAAATTGATTGAGGTCTTAGGTAGGTGTAGACTACCTCGTTGGGGTTAGCGAGATGATAACAATCAATGGTTAGATACCTTGAATGACATGGCTCAAAATCGTTTGCAATGGCAAAGGTGCATCCACTCTTTGTGTTCTCCCAAATTCTAATCTTCTGAATTCTTCATGTTTCTATCTTTTTTCTCTTTCCAAATTTATTTCACTGGATTATACTCCCTGAATAACATCTTCAAACCCTAATCTTTCGGGTTACTGCTCATACTCTTACTACCTCTACCACTATGGGATTTGAATCGACAACTGCATCTCTGTGATAATGTGGTATGGCAACTCGAACTGATGTACGTACGTACAAAGTTCTACGTTGTGACTGACTGGTGAATGCAAGTTTACTGTACATACTACTACAATCTAAATTCTAAGACAAATGTGGTCGAAAATAAGGGAATGATATACAAAATTCAAAGTGCGCCATTCTCACGATGAACTGATATGTACGAAACTTTCGTGACTTCTATTACAAGCATTCTAATATATATATAATCCTAAAATAATAGGATCATGTACAAGTTATCCGACCCTTATGTATCAGTTAACTAAGACGCTCCAAATCCCTTGATATCGGACCCAAATGGGTAATACAGTTAACATACCATCAGTATGAGATTACCTTCTGGTCCTACAGAAATGAGTTAACTATATTTGAGTTTTGATATGTTCAATTAGTTAATTTGTCACGTCTACGATATATCACATTTTACATAACTATATAAGACAAATCACTGGCTAATTCAGTTTAAGAAAGTCGATAGTGATTACAATACTGTAGTAAAACATTTTCCATATATGGATTACTCGCATTTGGCTATCATTACTCCTTATTAACAAAGTGTGATGAACGTGCAACTCTTAACAAGTAATGATATACGTCTACTGAGAAACCGTATAGGTGAATAAAAATATGACTATATAAATTAATATATTCAACTTACATCAACCTCACCCTGGTCGATTATGTAGAAATTATCACCTTCATCTCCTTGCTGAATAATCACATCTCCTGAATTACGATGTACAGGGAACATGGCATCAAATATATCACTAAATAAATGTAAAGCCAGATTTTAGAAAGTCAATCGAATAAAAAGTTGCAAAGTAAAAGATAAGTAAGGTTGGGAGGGTAGTTTTTTTCCAAGTCCCTAACTTAAATTGGACAAAGTGGGCCCACCAGAGCTAGTGGATGAGTGGCAAAGACTTTAGAATCTTCCTGTGTAAAAATCATAAACATTAATTCTTATTGTAACACCAACTTATTTAACTTGCTGTTTTGCTTTAGAACATAATTACGTTTCTGTACAAGCCGTGTTCTGATATGAGAACCAGTTGAGTGGACTAGTGTCCGAAATATACTAGGCTAGCGAAGTAACTGAGCTGAATAAGCAAGACTTTAACACCCATATATAAATATAAGCAAACAAACGTATCTACGCAGACTTTATATCACAATGTAGGCATGATCTGGACACTTATTTCCATTTTATAGGTAGTTAGGTCACGCTCCAGTGACTTTTTGTGTTTAATTACAAACGAGAGTTCTGATACGACTGTGTATATAAATAGAGTACGCCACACAGATACACATAACGTAGTGAAGTAAAAAAGGAGCAAGGGGTATAATCTGTTTCCCATATATTTTCAAAAAACCCAGTCAGAAGTTCACCACTATCCCCATAGAGTCTGGAATAGATCCTTTGGACCTGATGGCCTATGGTGGTTCAAAAGTGGGAGATTCTTGGAGACCTCCGCCTTGTTGGGGGGACAGTCGTCACCGACTAGGAAGAACAGATATCTAAGCGACGCTGCTGGAGCGACAGACCAGCTGAATTGTTTCTCGAGAAACCCTGTCCATTGTCTGAAATGCGGTTGAATGTTACTGACAGAAGTATCACCGGCTCCACAGATTATTTCACTCACAACAGACTTCTCGTTACCAGTGCCTCGGGTAGGTTGGAACAACTTCCAGATCTATCTGCTGCTTCCAACTCGTTGAATCACCCAGGTCACCGGGCGTCACTGTTTTTACATAAACTTTGCACAATTTCACTACGTAAGAATTCACGTTTATCGTCAAACTCGCGGTTAGCCGAAGTAGACTGACGTGCCTCAAGGAGTTGTTGGGAACCTATAGAAACCTAATGCCTGTGCATGGGACGTTTTGCGTAGCCACAAGAGACTTTACTCTCCGTTTTCATTGCATCATGTAAATGCAGTCAATGCTTGTCTACACTTTCCAGTGGGTTGATAGCTAGACTTGAATCTAGTTAGGTTTGATATGTTTTACGACTGGAGTTGCAGTAGATTTGCTTACATTGACTCTTCTAGTGACAGTGAATTTATCGGCCACTGAAACATCCGGAGTTCAGATAAGTACTCCAAAGGGGCGCCAGCTTTGTACACAACCACTCCAACGGTGGCTGATTGTGATGTGATCGGTCTAAGTCCAGACTTGGGTTGCAGAGGGATGGTACCGGGTGGCACAATGGGGATAACTGTACTGAAAGCTGATCCTGGCCAGAAACAGGTTATGGTCTGCGCAAAGCTGCAAGAGACGGTCCGCGTTATCTGACCTGAGACTGAGTCCTCATTGGCCACTCAAACAACTCTTCTCTGTGTCTAGACGTCTGACTTCCGCATTCAAATCTCCGGTTAGTACTACAATATCTGTCGAATGGGCTTTCTTGAGATCATTTAACTTGTGGTAGAACTCATCCTTGATAGCATCGGGGTTGCAGTCTGTCGGAGTGTAGGCGGAGATGACTAGAAGACATAGTTTTCCATACCGATTTCTTTTCACTTTGATGAATTTTTCTAATCTAACAGTATGTAACCTGGTGTTAATGGAGATTCAATCTATGGGTGCTGATTCTAATCCAGCACATAGAGTGACACCAAAGCCAGAAAAACCGAGCAAAGATACCACAAGGTCGCTGGTTAAATGTACATGAAACATGCTGTTCGGATCGACAGATGCCCAGTCAGTCAAACGCAACGTAGAATCTGGTACCTATGTACATCGTTTCAAATTGCCTCACCTCATTAGCACTGCTAGTTCAAATTATTATGTCAAATCACAGAGTAGAAGAGTTAGTAACAGTATCAGTGGTGATAGGAAAGATTATGTATCAAAGATATGATTCAAGATATAAATTAGTGAAATAAAAAAATTCATAACGAATTCAGAAGCTCGTGATAGGAAGAATGATAAAGAGTGGATGCATCTGCGCTATTGTGAACGATTTGAGCCATATCATTCAATTTTCCTACCACTGTCTACGATAATCACGCGAACCTAAATCAGGTTATCTACACGTGTTAACATAGCTCAGTTTAATTGTCAATGACTTCATGGAGTGATGCCATGTTTTAGCCGCTTATAGCTTTCTCCCAACCTACTACCATACAGGACAATAGCGCTTGTCAAGGTAGGCGATGGTTGGGCACGCGTAATATGTCCCAGCCACCTTAGTCGGGGAAGTTTTACTACCTCATCAATCTATTTACCATCTTTGCCTGGTATTCTGTTGCTAACTCTGACACTTCGTACTCGGCGGTCCCAACATTCAGAAACGATGCTCTAAAAACATCTAACCAACGAATACCCTCTGCTCCTAATGACCATGTTTTACAAACATTAAATAGAACGAAGCGGACTTCTGTGCAGTAAACTCGTCGTTTGTTTGACAGACGGATATCTCGCCTACGCCACGAGTAACGCCAGTTGGCAAAAGCCGGTCGAGCTTTCAGAATCCGTGCGTAAATTTCGTTAGACAGCAAACAATCAATACTGATGAGACTCCGAAGAGTGCTATCTCTAAAAGAGCATCTATGACAAGTTTAAAAATCGGGAGGTTGCACAACCCTAATGAACATCAATTAAGAAAACCAATGCCGATGGGGGTTCTAATAAGCTCTGACTCGAATAGAGATGTTGTGCAAGGTCAATGTACTTTTTTGATACGCCTTTCCATGATAGACACTGACACAGAACTTTATGACCAACAGATGGAGAGAGTATCCGCAGTAGGTCAATGAAGTTTTGGATGAACAACAGACGTCGATGTTAAGACTTCCGAAAGATACAAACAAACCTATCTATTGTTCGATCTGCATTAGTGTGTGAACATTGGACACCAATTTGAATGATACACGTGGTTTCAGGAAAGCTGTATCAGGATTGTATTCAACGGAAACACTCGTGATTTCGACCAATCAGCGAATTGACGGCGTTTGGAAAGGATAGAACTTTCACCATAGGCGTGTCTTTGAGTGAGTCGAAAACTAGAGACATACACAAAACGCGGATAAAGAATAAAATGAAGACACCGTAATATAAACTTGTGAGTGACTATGCAACTTCGAAAACAGTTAGAGTGCTTTCGAACCATAGATCGAATATTTAATTATAATGATCATCATAAATCTTTGTGTTGAGTGGAATACTCTCAAGGTATAAAAGCTAAAGCAGGTAGTTTTCTTAGATTACTCAGAGGGCTGTAACCTAGAGGTTTAATCCACAAGCAAATGTTAAAACGCTAGATTTCGTCCAATGTTAGTCTGTGATAAAAAAGTTTCATAAGCAATTCCTTCCAACCGGATTCTAGAACCCATATGCATCAATCTTTCATGTTCACCAGTTCGGTTGAATCGCTGGACGTCAGATCTTCATCTCAATCTTGTAAACAACACTAGAACAGTGTACAAGTGGTAAGATTTTACCTGCAAAGGCTATAAACGTATAGACGCAAAAGACTTATTCGAGAGGGAGGGAGGACTCTTCCCAACCTCGGCTGTACCAGGATATTTGAGGACCTACTTGTGATGTTTAAATAAACCAATGACTTCTTCGTATTGATGACTGTTGTAATTTTGAATTCCAAATATAATACATTCGTTCGGGCTCATCTAATACTTCTTGATTAAATTGCGTTATTCCTGGGATTACTAGTTTATAATACAATTCAAATACTTCTGATCATATTGGCGTCGCGATTGAGCCTGTGATGGAACGGTTAGATATACATTCAGATTTTAATGCTTTTGAGGAGTACATAGAGAGGTTCGAAATATGGGCTATGACCAAGGAAGATGATGAAGATTTTAATATTGTGGCTCATTTCCTTACATTCATCGGAAAAGAAGCATACAGCCTTATAAAGACTTTGGCACTTCCAGACAAAGCGATTTCAATCCCCTATGAAACTCTCAAGCAACTACTGTTGGATCATGTAAAGTATACAAATTCTGAATGCGGTAAGAGAGAGAAATCCGGTAAAATGACTCGACAGAACATCAGGAATTCCACTACTTTACTAAGTCGTCGCAGTTCGATGCGTAATCAAAGTTATTCAGATAATACTTCATTGAGCTGTGAAACAGTCCATGAAGATGAGCACGAGTTTAGTAAATGCGTATTCTGTGGCAAGTTTCACCCATGTAATTCATGTGTATTTCATAATTCTAAATGCTTTAACTGTGGTGAAACTGGACACATTCAGTCAGTTTGTAATACCATGCTTTATTTTGCTGAAAGCAATGCTAAGATGGATGCTTTTAATGATCAGTTATCTTTATCTAGAAGTGGTATAACGTCACATAGCAGTCCAGAGTTGAATGAAACTCAGAATCATTGTGAGACAAAAAATTTTAACCGACAAACTTATCGGATTTCTCATGTCATTGAACCAGATATGGTTTGTCGTAATAATTCACATACTTCTGATGGAATTTCTTACAACTCTGAGAATAGAATGTTAAATGAGTCAAATCATGATCAAAAACCAGATTCAGTCATGGTAGATGCTGAATTCCCTGATGATCCATTATCTAATGAAACTCTTAATCAAGTTTAGGAAAATATTTCAGAAGAATTGAATTCTGATATCATATCAAGTGTCAGTGGTCCTCACAATCAATTTATCTCTAATGATATTCCTAATGAATGTGAAAAATATGTTCCGAATGAGTCGAATTCTAGTCACATTTCTGATGTTATTGTGTCAGATGTTGGATACTCTCACGAACAATGTATGTTGAATAGAATCCCTAGTCAGAGGTATAATGAATCAGAGGGGATAGCAAAATTTACCGAAATAATCAGAGAACCAGCTTGCCCAGAGGTGAAGTTTGCACAGACAGAGAATCCAAATCAAGTCCAAGATTATCCTAATGAATATGAGGCAGATTAATGTTTTCTATTCGATTGTTTCGCAGGTAAATCAAGCCTAATTGAATCACATGTGTTAATTACATATATCAACGCATATCCATCTGTGTATTCTAATATGAATAACAAAAAGAATATGTATCATGATTTTTATTGAAGTCAAAGTCACATGATGGAATACCTCAAATTATATATCAGTGTTTATCCCCAAATACTCACATACAGTAGTCGATGCGTGAGATTCGAGAAGATAATGCAAATTGGGAACGTCATATTGGCTAAAACATTGCGACGTAAGGACCCAACATTATTTCGTGGGGGAGGATATTGTTGGAAATTCTATGATGCAAATTCTAAATATCAATGATTTCACTACAAAACCGACATGCCGATTGTATACAATTCCAGAACCCAGGTGAGTCTGTTTCAATTTCCGTTGTTAATTCTAATACTTACGAGTGCATTCTAGATAATACAGAGTCTACATCCAATACACCGTCGGACAGATGTAAGATGAACTTAAGAAGAAGACGAACAATCGATTACAGACACTTACACTCCAATTCGAGCTGTGGCGGATGTGATGTTTAAATAAACCAATGACTTCTTCGTATTGATGACTGTTGTAATTTTGAATTCCAAATATAATACATTCGTTCGGGCTCATCTAATACTTCTTGATTAAATTGCGTTATTCCTGGGATTACTAATTTATACTACAATTCAAATACTTCTGATTATCATACTACTTCAGTCAAATTAGCCTGGTAACACCTCTGGTTCTTAAAGTTTATAATTCATTCGTAAAGGAGGACATGAAAGAGGATTTTTATTTCATTCCTTAGAAAAATCACACGAAATACAACAATCGTTTATTGATGAGACGCAGACAACCGTAACAACCCAGCGACTGATACCGTTTAGTATTTATTTTGTACAAAAGTAAAATCTAACCTATTTATCAAAGTAAATTCGATTGACTGTTACCTCATTTCTTAAGTACTACATAACAAAATAGCTATATGAATCACGGGTCATTATGGAATATGAGAATCGAGCTAGAAAAGGACGGAAATAAGTTGCACGGTCACATAGATCCTACCTAAGCTCCTAGCAAATTATTTATAAGGAAAGTGTGTACTACTGTTTTGCTTCGGCGAGAACCTTCTTTCCCCTGTGACGTTTGAGTGAGAAATGTTTACATAAGTTCATGTTCAAACTATAACCGTTAGAGTAAACTTATCAGGGCAGATATCATGATCGATATTGTTATGACGGGATGAAAAGTCAAAATTAGACTGATCACTCATTATAATTTTTATTCAACACTAATTCCATTTCACCACTCAGTATAGTATTTGTTTTGTTTTCCACTATGACCTTTTATTCTGTATAACATACGATATTCTTGTATGAAGTATTTTCCATGTATGTGATTTATCCTGATTATTAATTTAAAAAATGGGTGTACAAACCAACATATAAATGTGTATTTTCGACTAGACTTGTCGTGATTGCTTGTGCTTCTGGCTGCTTGCGGGATATATTTTCCCCACTTCGGACTTGGACTTCTCACTCTAGTTAGCGGCGCTGGGACGCGTCAGAACAGCTAGCTTACTGGTCTTTGATCACAGAGTCTTTGTCCCGTTTGCAGATTAGGGAACTCGTAATCGCTTCAAACATTATATATATATATATATATATATATATATATATATATATATATATATATATATATATATATACGTCATTCCTAATTATTTAAAAGAGCGTGATTATTTCACGCATAAATTAAGATGTACCTGAATCTCTTACATTTACAGGTTGCATTTGATTACAACCTTACTGAAAACACATTCGCTCAAACTGTTCAACTGCTCAGTCATATTCCCATTTCGAAACTTTGTTCCTAACACTCGATGGTTAGTTTTAGTAAACAAAACGAAGAATTGTTAGTTGAGATTATTATATAAGTTTGTTTGACTGAATATGAACTTCAACTTCATGTCATTCTGAGATTGTGCATTTGACATCTGACCAACAGCTTACTTACCGTCAATCGTAACGAAGCAAAAACGCAGTGCTTTTGATGGAGTTTTGTTCTCTCAGCTGGATGGTTTGATCGTGAATCTTTTATCGTCCTTCTGAACGACATCATCGGCACAAACTTCTGGTAGAAGTGAAGTGTTTGAATTTCTCCACATGTGCCTTACAGGTTGTCTTGTACACCTCGATGTTGATTGGTCCTTGTTAACCTTAAATCTGTCATTGTGTACTTGTTTGTTTTGGTTGTATCCCCCATTTGTTTGATTTTTGTTCCCATGTTTTTGCATAATTTTCCCGAATGATTGATAAATTGGATTGATTTCAATGTGCTTGTTTATTGCTGATTGACCTGAGTGCCAAGCTTCTAAAAATTCTCTGGTGTTTTTGGGATTGCCTCTATCCAAAATCACATTTTTTCCAGTCAAAATCTCAAAATCAACCTTAGAAGAAAACACAAACAACTGCATGGTCAACCTATCAAACAAACATATAACACCTACTCTGGAAAGGATTAAACTACAATACAAGCGGCGCCTCAAAACTGGAATTCTTCGCAACACTAGAGTCATCACTCAAAACTTCCGGAATAAAAGAAGAAACACAACATGAAATAAAACAAACTATAGTACCACTAACTCAACGGATGAAAGACAACAACCAACTGACTTCACAAAAATGAAAAGCTTTAAAGAAACTCAGAACTAGAAAAGATATTGTCATCGTTCCAGCGGACAAAGGGCGCACCACAGTGATTATGAACAAAGAAGAATACATTAAGAAAGCGGAGGAAATACTCGAGGATAAAAGCATATACAAACCAATGGACATAAGTCCAGTCAAACAGTTAGACAACCGAATTTCAAAGACTTCAAACAAGCTCGTCAAAGCAGGAGAAATAACAAAACAAGATCAAAAGAGAATGAAATCCAGTAGACCAGTGCTCCCTCGATTCTACAGCAGGCCGAAGATACACAAACCAAACATCCCACTACGTCCAGTCGTAGCACTACCCGGAACGCAAACGTACGATTTGTCAAGAAAAATTTCGCGAATATTGAAACGTTTAGTGGATTCGTCAAACCATTCCATCAAATCCGCCACACAATTCCTTGATGAGAATAAGAACATTCGAATCAACAACGACGAGCTGATGATATCCTTCGATGTAACAGCACTATTCACCTTAGTTGAACCAAGCTTAGCAAAAGGACGACGACGAAAATCTCGCAAAGTACACGAAGCTTCAATGTCAAAGTCTCATAGACTAATGGATTTATGCTTAACGACGTATTTTCAATACAACAACAAAATCTATGAACAAACAAAAGGGACACCGATGGGATCACCAATGTCGGGACTTGTCGCAGGAGCAGTAATGCAGGGACTAGAGACCGCGATTTTACCAGTGACCAAGCCGAAAATTTGGATTCGTTATGTAGACGACACACTCGTCATCGTCAAAAAGGATGAACTAGAAAACACCCACAGGCTGATCAACAACGTCTTCAATGACATCAAGTTCACCATGGAACAAGAGTCAAACGACAAGCTATCATTCTTGGATATAGTAATCATCAGAACCGACACAGATAAACTGGAGACTCACGTGTAGAGAAAGCTGACTCACACTGGTCAAATTTTCAACTACAATGGCAACAACCCAAGAGCTCACAAAATCAACTGCGTGCAAACTTTGTTCAAGAGGGCGAGGACACAGTACAACACAATTACAGCACAGAAAGATCAAGAAAAATACTTCAAAACCATCCTTCAATAGAACGGCTACCCAATTGACTTCATCCAAAAATACCTGCATCAGAAACGAAGTCAAGTACAGGAATCAAAAAAAGGATTACCTTACCATACATAAAAGGTATATCAGAAGCGACGAGATTGCTGAAAACCTGGGGAATAGGTGTTGCTCACAAATCAACAAAATCCCTTCATTCAATCTTATGCAAACCAAAGGATGAAATGACAAAAGAAGACAGACGAAACATCATCTACAAAATAAATTGTGCCAACTGCGACAAACACTACATCGGACAAAGCAGACACTCTCTTCATCTTCGCCTGCATGAACATCAATTAGCAGTCAAACGCCATGACATGTCTTCATTTATATCGATGCATGTGGACAACTGCGGATATACATTAGACTGGAAAGATGTGGAGATTTTGGATAGAGGCAATCCCAAAAACACCAGAGAATTTTTAGAAGCTTGGCACTCAGGTCAATCAGCAATAAACAAGCACATTGAAATCAATCCAATTTATCAATCATTCGGGAAAATTATGCAAAAACATGGGAACAAAAATCAAACAAATGGGGGATACAACCAAAACAAACAAGTACACAATGACAGATTTAAGGTTAACAAGGACCAATCAACATCGAGGTGTACAAGACAACCTGTAAGGCACATGTGGAGAAATTCAAACACTTCACTTCTACCAGAAGTTTGTGCCGATGATGTCGTTCAGAAGGACGACAAAAGATTCACGACGACCTGTAAGCCACATGTGGAGAAATTCGAAAAACGTAGTGTTCTTGATTAAAAGATCATAAAAGCAAATGGGTTACAAGCGTCGGCTACATACTACAGAAATTTTAACACGTACATAACGCTAATAGGAAAACTCGTAGTTTGCTTAGTGAAAATTGATTTGAAGCAGACTTTAATGACTGACTGACTGCAATTTGTTTAACATTAACCAAGCTAAAAAGAAAAGTACATACCTCCTCTCTGTCTCATCTAAGTGAGAAAATAGGACGTTTTTGGCGATAGCCTTTGAAAGAGCTGTCATCGTTTTATAGTCCTTGGGTACAACCTTGTTGAAACGAAATAATGATAATATATCGATAATGAGAATGAATTTAAACAGAAAAACCACAATAAAAAAACTCAATAAAACTGAACTACATAACGACGCCATCACGCTAGATGAATATACTGACGTCTTGGTTATCAAAAAATGGTTTTGAACATTTATTTTCCTAATTTCATTAATTGATATACTGCCGTTAGCTTTTACACTATAATTATGACAGGTTTTAATGCATGTGGTTATTAAAGTGTGTTTGCTTTCGTTCTATTGTCTTGACTTTCTGCTGGATTTGAGTTTAGATGCTTGAGTCAGTTATCCTTTCCTAAAATTGCCAGTTGTATGATTACAAAGGCAATATAAAGATTAGTTACACAAAGAGATCTTCCAACCTCAATTTTATTGAAGATATTTTTATGCTGGAAAGACCCGAATGATGAGAGGGAGGTTCATTGAAGTTGTTTTAGTCTACATTAATCAGTAAAACTAGTCAAAATGAATATAGATGACAGAACATTAAAATTTAAGTATTTGAGAGTCGTGACGATACATAATGAGGTTACTAAGTGACAACATAAAACACTAAAATGTGATAAGACACTCCAATTATAAGCTGGAATTGGAGAGATTATGTTAAGATGTGAAGCTTCAAAAAGAAACGACAATGAAGAAGACACAATTACCTTCTTAACATAGGACGCAGCATCTTCTTCTGTATAAACTTCACCGCTAACTGCTCCTCTTCGAGATCGACGTCTAGTTAAACTAACACCCGGTGATACAGCCAACAAGCCTCTCGTCCCTCCACCATTTCCTCCGTCATAACTACTACCATCCTCATTCATATTATTGGATTCGTAACTACTATCAACTTTTAACGGAGTTTCGACCAAATGTTTTTCAATATTGTTAGGAATAAGATTATCTGTATCACAGGAGTATCGATGGTTATTCATCCCTGAAGAGTGATCACAATTTTGAGAGCGTACAGAGGGAATAAGAACACCAAAGCAACCACTTCCATGACTCTTATCTTCGTGTTCGAAAGGGCGACTGGAGGTATTTGATACAGGTAGCGTGTGTGAATCTTCACTGAGTTCTAAGTTTTTATGAAAAGCGAACCCAGATACATGACTAGTTGACGCTTCAGTATATTTTCCATTGCAAACCTGAAAAATTAGAAATATAATAAGATAATAAAGAGTAAAATCACATTTACAAGTCAATGATAAAATCTACACACACTTGCTTTTTTCATCCCAGATACTTGAACCAGATAGTTCAGGATTTCCACCAAGTAATTCACAACTTTTGTATATGTATGTTGAGTAGCTATTTTACAACTACCTTAGGAAAAACTAACCGTCATCACCTTAAGTCACGAAAAAGTATTAAAATGAGTGTTTAAACAGAACTGCAATCCGCACTTAATCGGTTGGCAATCAGTGTCCGCAGGTACGGCATGTGCTTTGCACCTTCGAAGTGTAAAGTACTCCTACAAGACTGGCAGGATTCTCATCCTGTACTCACCCTGGATGGTGAGCAGATTGAAGTAGTTGAGAAGTTCGTGTATCTAGGTAGCTACATAAGTGCTGGTGGTGGCGTGAGTGATGAGATTGACGCACGTATAAGGAAAGCCAGAGCGGCTTATGCCAATCTGGGCCATCTTTGGCGCCTTCGTGATGTTAGTCTGGCTGTAAAAGGTCGGATCTACAACGCGTCGGTGAAAGCAGTTTTGCTCTATGCTTGTGAAACCTGGCCTCTCCGAGTCGAGGATGTTAAACGACTCTCTGTGTTTGATCATCGTTGTCTCCGAAGGATTGCTGACATACAGTGGCAACACCATGTTAGTAATGCAGAGGTTCGGCATCGTGTGTTCGTGCGCAGAGACGATAATACAATTGGTGTCACCATCTTGAAACACCGAATTCGGTGGCTTGGACATGTTTTACGAATGTCGTCCCAGAGACTTCCACGTCGTGCATTATTTGCCGACTCTGGGACTGGTTGGAAAAAGTGGAGAGGAGGTCAGTGTATGATATGGTGTCGTGGCATGAAAGAAAGCTGCAAAGGGCTAGCTTCTGTTGGTCCTTCACGACTCCCTGGCTGGGGTCCGAGAGGTGGTGCAACACAGTGGCTAGAGACGTTATCAAATATGGCTCAGAATATAAGCCAGTGGCGAGCCTGCTGTAACCTTCTTTTACTTTCTCCATAAGGAGTGGTTCTAACTTTCTTAACTGAAAGAGTCTTCTGGTTGTATATTTCAGTCCGCCTTATCTTTTCATCCCTTCTCTTCCTACTTTCATTATTTTGTGTGGCGCATATGTATCTGGTGCCCTTTTGTACCAATATGTATGTGTTTAAATAAATAAATAATTAGACAGAACTATGTAAAGGATTAGTTATTTTGGGTAGTCATTCCCCATACACCAAATATTATCCAAGTGCCTGGAAGAAGGCTCTTCAACACTATCCCTATATAATTTAGCTAACTTAGATATTTGAGGGATATATATAACGTACAAGTGGACGCAATTAATAATACAAATCAGCTATGGGCAAGTGGAAAGTAAATGCTCCCATCAAATTAGAGAGAAAGATCATACTCAAATATTCCTAACTGATTATCTTAGTCAACCTTCATTATAATCACCACCTTTCCAATTTTTAAGTGTAAGCTACATAAATACACTTATGTCTAACAACCATTTGAAAGCCTTCAAGCCCCTTAATATTCACATCAATTTCAAGCTCCTGACTATACATGCAAACTATCTATAAAACACGGTACAATAAACTGATGAACTTTAAATCACTAAATCTATTGTACGGACGCATATATAACAGCTAACTTGATATTGGAGCACACCTGTGTACTAATTGTTTTTACTACACCAACGTAATAATTATTGATCTTCGTATGACTACTGGTTGGGTGTGCACTGAATGTCTCTAGTTGGGTAGATTTTTATAGTTATTTGCAGATTAGTGCTAGTATTCATATTTCGACTCGAACTTATTAGGACAAATTCAACACAGCGATTGTAGGACAAAAATGAGGATCCATCTTATTTCGTGGCTTCTCTCCTGCTGCTTATGTTGGATTGTTATATATTGTGTAGTTAAAGTAAAATAACTTCTCTACCAAAAACAGGTTTCTGCGTCGCACCTTGGGACCAAAAGATTATACCAAAGCTTTCATATAACTAAACGACTGGAATTTGATAGCCCAAGTCAGCAATTTATTTTGACGAACAATACTACCAATTTAAGCTTCCAATGGTATTAGCTAGGCGTTTCATGTAAAGTCGGAGGTTTATGCACAGAAATTTGATTGACCAAAGGTCACCATAGATATTGAATGTCATAACTTGCCTCGAGCTTCTCAAAATACTCGCGGAGAAATGCAATGGGATTACTAGGACGATGTAAGCACAAGTTAACAACACAGTCCCTGAGAATTTCGTGCACATTATGCTGTTTAACATAATCCTCAACATCGCTCATAAACGACTCATCCTCCATAATTCCCAATTTCTCCGAAGCAAAAGCAACTCTCGAAAGGGCCGCCCGTCAGGTTGAAAATTCCGGTATCCAATACCTCGTGAATGAGCTTGTATAAAACTGTAGCACGTACTATTAGCGTTTACTTGGAGGCAGGAGAGATCTGAAACAACAACACAACGGTCAGGACCGGTAAATGCCTCTAAAGTAAGAACGCAGTGTACTGGCACAACAGATATATTTTTAAAATTGAAAGACGCAATTCGATTACAAAAAGGGAAAACTTATTACAAAATAGATCTATTTAGTGTTCTGCAGGTTAATCTTGTGTAAGGCTTGTTCCTCTTCCTCCAGTACGTTTACTCTATTCCGCCCTGCAATAAGAAAAACAGACTCACATTAGTAACGTTATATGCAGTGATTTTTAATACTTCAGTCCTCAGTAATAGGGATAGTAGGTTAATGAACCTGTGTTGATTCTGATAGACTGCCTCCCAGTGAGGGTTCAGCTTCTCTTTGAAAATGATCACTGATAGCACCGCTGATACCACTTATTCTAGTTATTGACCACTCGATGAGAAAAACGGGACCCCACCTTTAGTTTATTGGATCGCGTATTGTGAACCTTCTTGCTATGACCTCTAAGATTATCGGGGCTTCAGGGGGCAAAAAGATAAGACATATTAACACCCAAATCATAATTAAAGATACGAAATTCTAATATAAGGTCACCTCCCGTCCTACGATACGGCAAGGGGAAAAGGTTTAGGCGTTTTAAACGCTCATCGTAAGGGACTTTAGAAAGACCCTTCACTAATTTCGTTCCCACATGCTTTGGGGTACACCACTTTTGACCAGCTTCCGTTCGGATAGCGTTCCATTGACCCTCAATCTCTGTCTGTGGTCACATAAGAAGTTTCCTATTCATTCCTGTACAGTACCTGCTACTCCAAAGCTCGAGAGCTCTGCATAAGACCTAAGTGTGAAACCTTGTCAGACGCTTTGCTTAAATCTATGGACTGACCACATCTTCTTTACAATTTCTAAGGAGTTGAGCGAATGGAAGGGACATGTTGAAGAGCGTCGCGAACGGTCTTGAAATAATGTCCGCAAGCAATGACAGCAAACGTGGATGTAACCTAAAGGGGCCCGGTATCTTACAACATTTGAGGTTAGTTATCAATGGAAGAACAGTTTGCTCAGTCACATGTATAGATCCTATGGCTGGTATCTTGGTGTGATTTAGGCAAGTATTTGTAACACCACACGTAGAATATACTTCCCTAAAATAGTTTGAAAATGTCTCAGCTTTTGCTAGATATGATTCAGCTAGTTAATCTGAATTTTCGTGTAATAGTATCGGGGAATGCCATCACTAGGTTTTGCTCGTCGTTTAACGTACTAAAACGATCGCTTCGGACAACTTTGGCTAATATATGCCAAGTGTCTTTCTTAAAAAATACGGCATTCAGCTATGATCTTTTTACATATATTCCGGATATTTTGTTATTCACATATAAATGATTCGTGTTCTTTTGACTAGAATAAGTCCCAGAAGTTCTTCCTATGTTTTAGCAGCTTTTTGGTTCCCTTATTAATCCATGGAGGACAATGTAATAGCTTACATGTTGACCATGGGATAATTGGTGATGTTGCAGACTCGACTGTAGTCTTAAACTTATTTCATCCGTCTTCGATCGATCCATCCATATCGACCGACCAGTCAACGAGATGGCATAGTCTCTGATTGTCGGAATATCAGTTCTCCAGATGTTTGGACGGGGTAAAGCAGATACATATTGTATACCATGTGCCCAAAACTTGAAGTAAAGTACAACGTGATCACTATTGGCTAGTGAGGGAAGGTGCTGAATATCGATGACATCCTCGCAGTGGTGTGTGAGGAAAAGCTCCAGCAATGATGGATCATTCTCCAAGTTAATGTGTCGGGTTTACGATACATTGTACAAGTGAATAGTTGTTGATAATAGGTCACTATCAACCCCCCGACCTGAAGCTGTAAGTTCTTTCCAGTTGACACGCTGTGCGTTGAAGTCTAATGATGAAATAACATCCTGTCTTACTCCAAGAACAGATGTGTCCTAAGATATAGTCGTCAGCAATACAACACGAACTATTACATATTCCTCCTATAGTCACTAACCCGCTTCTAGACTTTTCAACTAAACGGGTGCTTTCTTTGACTATCTTTCCTTATCTTCTACGTTTCTGCATCATCCATTTCCCATCAGTCGCAGCATCCACATTAAAACTGCTTGGGACAATAATGGTTTTGGCCCGATCATCAGTCGCTGATGTAGCAACTTGGCCACCAACTTCTAATGGTGTATCGCTCATTGATTGTTCCGGGGTAGAAAGCTCTATTTTATGCTGTACAGTTGGGTGTATGGCACGTGCAGTGACACTTCTTTGTTACCATTACTGTTACAAAACGATTAGATTTGTTTGCTCTCGTTTCCTGATGTATTGGCATACCTTTAAGTCTTCCTTTATGCTCATTGGTGTTAGTCTAGCCACTCGACCGCACTACTTTTACTCAAGTTTTTAGACATTTGTGGATTTGTTTCATGTAATCTGAGTGGACGCATTTGTTTCAGGGTAGTAGGGTTTCTAGAAAGTAGAAGCTGTCAAGTCACTAGATAAGGGGTTGATTGGTTGAAATGTGGAAAGCACTAAAGAGAAAATCAGGATGTAGCAGGTCTAAGAGCAGACGATTGTCCGAAGTAAATAAATAATATTGATTAGTAAATAATGCAGATGATGTGAGCTGTCTGCAGTGAAAGAGTAAGGATAGGGACGTGAAATAAGAGTAAGCTAATGAGAAGTGATAATTATACCAGTAGATAGATTGCGAGACATAAATCACCCACAGCTAGTAATCCATGAATTAGTTCGTGTTTGTAAAGTCTCATAGTGAGACTATCCACTATGGGGAGGTTATGTTCGTTTAGTCTAAGAGAGCGTTCTAAACAGGATAAACTGTAATTGAAATAAGTGAGAGTATATCTGGGTATGGTAGTTGTACAAACTGATAACTCCTTTGTACTTGATGACCCGCTGATTACGAATTCCAAATATAATACGTTCATTCGTGTTCATCTAGTTCTACTTTCTGTAAAGTGCGCTATTTTGGGAATTCCTAGTTAGTCGGACATTTATTCGAACACTTCTAATTATCATACTATGTCTTTGCTTTCCAATGTCCATTTTTTCTATGGTTGCCTAGTGGCAGTGATTTCTGATAGGATGTTCTTGTTGAAGTGACTTGAGGCACTTAGTATTTCGTACGTTGTTATCAGATCATCTCTAACTCTCCCAAACCTCAGCCAGGTTTATCTCAGGGTTTAATCTCCGTGAGATTTGTTTCTCAGGTCAATCATTCACTTAATTCCTTATCTCCGTACGTGCTCTAGGAGACTTATGTCTGTTTTTTAGGAAAGAGGATACAATAACCTCGTGAGCACCAGAGTAAGACCTTCTGTAAGTTTCAAAGAGTACCTGAGATAAAGCTGCGGTCATTGTATCAAGCTGTCTTTGTTACATTTTTTCTGTTCCACCCTCGAATGAGTTTGGACTGGTGTACAAACTCACTGTGAAGACATTCGGGAAACGATTATCATATAAGACGTGAGCTGCTTGTGTCCTTTGAGGCTGAGTGAGTGTGATGCGACACTCTGAAAAACTATAATTCAGTTCGTTTTAAACTTCTTGTTCCTTATTATTGTGGGTTCGTTTCGAAGTCCAAGTGAATCTTTTTCGCTTCCCATGAATCTCCGGATCTTCAAGTTGCCAGGGTATGAGATCAACAATTTTGTCTTGTAAGAGTCTCGCGATAGAAATCGGGAAAACAGTTCATTCAAAACGGTTCCCTCTGACGGTGCTAATCTCGAGACTCTTGAGCTCGCACACACCCTGTTTTCCATGGTACAAAAGACATGGTTCTCGAAGCAGCAACAGAGCCGTTATGTAAGTGGGTTAAGAAAGCATGTATGTGGGACCCTCGTTAGATGGAGTGGGAAAATGCCGTCTCAGACGCCTTTGAGAAGTCAAGCGATGTCACATGGACTTTTATCACAACAGGTTGTCTAGCTTTTTTATGCTAGGAGAAGGTTAGTGTCCCAGGAGGCGCAGTTCCTAAGCCTGTTGTGCCTCTTGAAGAACATCGTTTTTGCTTATGAATTGCGCTATTCGGTCATTGATCAATCTTTCCAACACCATTGAAACTACTAGGATAAGGGCATTCCTATGTAGCAGGTTGGATCTTTCCTGTCTCCTCTTCTCCTGAAGAATAAAGAAGTAGCCTGTTTCCATATTGTTAAAAGTTTCCGAGATTCCGGTGAGTGCTGGAACTGGTCACATATTGGCGCGCTAATGGTCTCCACATATTATCTTCGAACTATCGTTTAGATTATTTGATATCCCGACGAATATCCTGCCAATAGGCTTCTAGATCTTACCAATACTGACACGGTAGGTAGACGGATATTTCCCAGAACATCAGCTGGTACCAGAGTGGAAGAAAACTCGTTGCTTATAAATCTGTCTCAAAAGTGTCATAATTAGCATTAGAAATTTCGATCACTACAAAATTGGTAAGTTAGTCACTGTAAGGTCATTTAATAGCACAGGTCTGTTGGTTTGTAGGTTTTCGTTTGATTATGAATCTGTTAAGCGTTTCGAGCTAGCTGGTATTTCACTAGATTGACTGGTGCACAAATTCCTCCAGTTGCTTCGCATTTTCCACTGAATTTACCTACTAGTCCTAAGTAAAAACCCACGGCAAGGATCCTTTATGGTCACTTTCTGTTTTGAGGGGCTCTCCTTCTTGCCTGTAACAAGCGTCATTTGCTGTGCTTCAACCAGAATGTTGTCTTCTTGGGTGTGCTTCCGGCTCCTGGGTGTAGAATAGCTTTTAGAGTAATACTTCTCATCATCTCTTAATGATCATTCGCTGTTAGCTCTTGCCACTTGTAACTATGAGGCATGTGAAAGATTTTCCTTCATGTCCGTATAGTCTGTCCTGGAGTAGCAAACCTGGGGGGCGTTTCTGTCTCTCTTGTGTGACCACCTTGT